TCTTTCACATCCTTTATGCGTGCAGCATAAAAGCTGTGCAGTCCCTTTCAGATCCGAATGAGGACAGTAGTGATTCAGCAGTACTTTTTACTTTTGGGGCGGCCATGAGGCATTATTAGCTTGGTGGCCCCTCATTTGCACATGTTAAGTATGGCACGCTCATTTGATTAGTGGTGCTATACGGAGAAGCAGTATCATGCTTTAAAAAGTTTGCAGTCTGATTGGTTTACTTGCCAGAACATACCACTTTCTGGCATATCACATAGCCACGTGAGCACAAAACCATCTAAATGAAACCTGTTATTTGCATAGTGCCGAATCATCAGAAGAGCTTTGACGCGATTCTGCGGGTCCTGCAAACATTTAAGGCAGCCTCTGACCCAAAACCCATTTTTTTAAAAGTATGCTCTAGGCCCAACATGGGGGCTTGAACTCACATCCCTGAGATCAGGAGTCGCGTGCTCTACCGACTGAGCCAGCCAGGGGCCCCCCAAACATCCCTTTACATTTAAGGAAAGTGAACAAACCCCAAAAACAAATATAAACAGAGGTGCCATCACTGAGGAGTAACTGAAGCTGTGAAGTATGAATTCCTGAAAATATTTTCATTCCTCTTTCTGAAACATCAACTAAGTCATCTTTCCAATTATCTTTAAAAAAAATTTAAGTTTGTTTTGAGAAAGAGTGAGAGCGTACACGCATGTAAGCAGGGGCGGGGCAGAGAGAGGGAGAGAGAGAGAATCCCAAGCAGTCAAGCACTGTAAATGCAGAGCCCGACTCAAGGCTCGATCTCACAAACCATGAGATCATGACCTGAGCCGAAATCAAGAGTCGGACACCCGACCAACTGAATCACCCAGGTGCCCCTCCAATTACCTTTTTTAATGCTTTTGAAAACACCCATTTTGAAAAACAGCAATATGAAATCTACATCTCTGATACTGTATGTTCTCAAGTACTTTTATTAATTTACTCATCACCTATTGTTTACCTATGAACAGGTACTGTTTTTTAGGTGCTGGGTGTACAGCAGGGACAAAGCAAAGATCTTTACCATAATGGTTGATACATTTCCTAAAATGTTTAAAAATAAACCTTGCAACATTAGTTTTCTCTCTACAGAAAGCATCATAATGATCATTTATTCCTTTTAAGCGAAATGACTGCTTCAAAAAAGCAGAGAATTAGACTAGAAGCCTGCTAGATAGTAGTATAATTCTAGAAAACGGCGGAAAAGGACATTAAAGTTCTATGCTCATGATCCATAAAGCAGAAACCCCTTAAGAATGCAAGTGTGTAAGAGCTTTTAGTGGAGGTTTCAAATCAAGGGAAAAGCAAACTAAAGTGCTTCAACTTGATGGTGCTGCTTTCAGTGACTGGCAGGACGTCTGCTTCATAGGAGAGCGCAGTTTGCCTCACTGCTGTGCAGAAATCTAGAATCGCCATTGCTCCCAATGCCCGCAGGGACAAAAAGGGAAAACGATCGTGGAGAAGACATACAGGATGCAGCCCGGACTTCTGTAGGTTTAACAAGCCAGAGTTTCTCAACCTGAGCACTGTCAGCATGTTAGATGGGTAACTGCTGGGGGGAACTGTCATAAAAGGTTTACCAGCACCTCTGTCCTCTATCAGATGCCAGTAGCAAAGCACCCAGCCTGCCCCACCCCCGCCCAGTTGTGACTATCAAAAACGTGCCCAGTTGGAACGGAAACAAAATCCGTACACGCCCCCCATCTTCCCCCGTGACAACCACTGTAACAAGCTGAAGATACTGTGTGGGCTTTGTCTGAATCACAGTGCAGGCCAGTGGCTAGCTGGTGTTCAGGGACTCAAACGGGGAGGTCTGGATTTTAGCTTCCTCTGTCCACCAGAGGGCAGCAGCTGAGCAAAAATGTCCCCTTTCCCTGTTTTTATTTGGTAGGTAAAGCAACATTACCCAAAGATTTCAAGTTGACAAACGTCTCGAATGCTATAAAGGTGCCAGAGGAAAGGAAAGTCAAATGGTCAAAGTCACCTCAAGGCCAAACTCTCCAGATGCCTTTACTGCCTCCACCCAAATGATGAGAACAAAAACTGGTCATGTTTCTGATGAAATCACAGAATGGGGGGGGGGGGTCTATTCTGTGCTCTCTCAATGGCCACAGAGAGGTCCAATCAATGAAAACACCCCCAGAAACAACTGCTATCAGAAGGTCTACTTGCCAGGAGCTTTTAGAGCTCCTACTTCCTCTACCTTTTTTGAAAAGTCGGTTATCTAAGGAAACTTGAGTATCTTTTTGCGGTTTGATTCTGGCGATCCATTTTGTAGCAGGGATATTCTATCAAATAAAATCCTTCCTCTGTGTCAAATGTTAAGATGCTTTCTGCACTAAGGAGTAATCACTTCTTCACATGATTTCTTTTTCTTGTCTGTACATGAAGGCAGGGCCTGCATCATGTATTCCCAGCGCTAAGCAGGGACCACCCACCCTAAGTGCTGATGTTTACTGAGTCAATTATTGAATAAATGTCAGTCGAGCTTCTGGGTCCACAAACTAAGCATGGTCCCGGAGCCTGGTTAATACCAATGAACGTATTTGCTACCATATCAGATCATAGATCTGATAGCCCTTGGCTTGGCTCTTTGCTCCTGCTCTTTGTTCCATACCTGCTCAGAGACAGAGCTGCTGTATTTTTTAGACATTCTCTTCCTCATTGTCTCTTTCACGGATTTCACCTTTTTTCCAAGAGAGATGCGGGAGGCCGTGGGTGATTTGATAACTTCTTTGTACACAAAATCTCCTTCTTTACTCTGCAAAACAAAGTGTTGTAAATACCTTTAATCACAGTAAAAGGATGCCCAGAAACAGGTTTTATTATGCAAACCATTAATGTTCTACCTGTCAGAAAAATACTGGCATCCCCCAGGATCCTGAAATTTTTCCTGTGTTAACTCAGTGCTGTTATTTGTCTTTTCGATTGAAAATTAAAAGCTACTCGCTAAGGCCCTTTTGTATATTTGTTTAAAGTGGGATGTGGGTCACTTATTATTTTTTTAACCTTAGTATATTCTTCTCCTATTATACTTTTCCTCATCATTTTAGATACCCAAGGGGACTGCATTTCATTGATAAAGAGTAATTTAAATGAACCAATGTTCACATAATCCCAGCAGTGGGAAGAAGAGAAACATAATACTACTGAATCACCCCAGGAAGAGTGGAAAGAACAACATGGCAAATCTCAGTCATCAGAAGTCCAATATCTGATCAACTTAACAGCATTCTTGAGCTCCGTGGGGTCAACTGCTAAGAATATGTACATTTCCTTCCCTGAACAAAACTTGGTCATCTCTCGTTCTATTTTACATCTTAGAAAGCGACTTTCCCCTGAGAAAGGAAAAGAAATCCTACTTCCTCTGTCATTTTTTTTAAAAGATTTAACTACATAAAATTATTGGTTTATGAATCAATAAAGTTTGATATCCAAATAAAATAGTATTATTCTTCTAGGAAATTCTCAAACACTTGAAAAATCACAGATGGGTATTTTAGCTGACATATGATATATACACAAATATAAAGCACGGAATTTTAATTTCATAGTTGCAGGCAAAATGCATAAAGAGAAAACAAAACTGTAGGTAAAATTCACCTACATCCTTGGAGCCTCAGAAAGGGAACCTTGGGGAATGGAACTTGTGCACCACAGTGGTGGACTGTCCCCAGAGTGATCCAGAAACAGATCTCAGGCAGCTGGAACCTTGGCTCTGAAGAGACTGGTTTGGTTTGGGCCCAAGGATACTGGGTTCATTCCAGGACACTCCAGATCAGGAAGACCTACGCTTATAGAGAGCCATGCACTTGGCCTGTGATAAGACTGGTTTCTTAGATATTTGGGCACATCCTGTTGGACCCCGGTCACAGGGCTCCATCCTGTCACGCTACCTGTGCGTAGTGGCCGTGTACACGTGCTACTAGAAGCCAAACTCCTCTGGATTTGGGACTTAAAGAAAACCGGAAGCAAAGGCATCACAGGAATGGAGGTGGTCATCGTTGTTCCACACGGAACAGCAAAGCATCTCCATGATGGGTACCAAGGGGCTTCTATCCAACTATGATGCAGGATCACCGATGTTACCCACTATCCTTTCTCAAACTAGGAGAATTTCTCAAATTTGAAACTATGGCAACCACATGCTTGAATCCAAACCTTTCTGCTTTTCCTTTGATGTGTACGCACCATTGGGTCCGAACTGTTGCTGCCAATGTGTAGAGAACGATTCGTCAAGTCAAATCCTCCAAAACTGCAGGTTCTCTGTGGAGAGGAGAGGGCGGGGCAGGAATAATCCAGTTATGTTTAAGTCAGCCGGCAGTGCACCAACCCAACACATTTCCCATTTGCGGGACAATCACCGAATCACAAGTATGTCCACAGGATGAAAACAGGAAACAAGAAATGATGAGGAAAAAAAAAACAACATACATGATTCATGTTTTAAGGAAATTTCCCTCATTTTGCCTTTCCAGAGGCCACTGGAACTGTGCCTATACCAGAGGTCCAAAATCCCCTTAACGTGCAAAAACCAACTGGTTAAAAAAAATACAACCAAACACCACCCATGTGTTTGTTAAGTGCTCCAAGATTCCCTGCCTCTTAGCAACAGAACATGCCCTTCCGGTCCCGATTTCAGCTGCATATAGTAATGATGACGAGGAAATATGTATTAGGGGATCCACGGGCTCAGAGTAGTCTTGGAAACCCAGATCTGGAATCCTGTATAGCTCTACCACTGACAGCAGGCTTTTCTAACAGACTCTTATTTTGCTTGGTTTTAAATCTCTGCGAAGGGGAAAAAAGGTTATGTTTATAGTAGTACAATCAGGCCAAGAGGATTACTCACTCATTGCTTCCTTGACCTAGCCAAAAATGCTGCTAACTTTCCCAGCTAACTGCCCAACTTAACTAATCGTGACCCTTTTACTCAGAGTGTATGAAGACACCACATTTGTCCAGAAAGAAAAGGTTGATTCAGTGACTGTCTTTGACCACACTCCTTAGTTTCAATAGGAAAAAATGCTGATGTTGTAAAGAATCAAAAACCTTATTGTCCTTTAATTGGTTTCAAACTTTATGGAACTGCTTATATTTCAGTAGTTTTATATTTCAAAACTTGCTTCGAATTCTTTGTTGTAGTTCCAGCAAAAGCTATTCAATGGCCACTCCCTCCCCCACCCCCAAAAAGCTGTACGACAGACTCAAAGCACACTCGTTTTTCTTACAGCGGATTCACTTTTTAAGTGATTGGTAATAAAAGCTGAATTGCAGATCTGGGTTCCAAGATTTTGTATGACGTGTTTCCCAAAGAAGTCTAGGTCACAGCTATCCCGTGGAAGAAATGAACAGAAAAGCACAACGCGTACTATAAACATGGCTTGTTTGAAAGAAATATACTTGAGATGTGTATTAACTGACTTGAGAAAGCAGAAACATCTGGGAAGGAAAACGCCATGGTTCCTGGAATCACACAGGTTGCCCTGGTCCTGCCACTTCCTTGTAGGGGGACAGATAAAGCACTTAGACTCTCTGAGCTTTGGTTTGTTCAGGAGTAGCAGACACGCCGTGAGGGCTGGGCTTTCACTTTGCATCAGGCCTGCTCTGATCTGATAGCTTGTCCCGGACCAATTACCATATCCTACCTTATCTGAGTTCAGGCTTAGTAAAACATCCTAAATATGTAAACGAAGGACTAAAGCTTAGTTCTGGGCCTTACATTCTGGGAGCTTCCACTGTAAAACCAGAGCCTCCCAGGCGGGGGCCAAAAGGTGAGAGATGGCATAATGAGGGGCCAGGATAGAGAAGTGCTGCGGGAGGTACTTGGGGATAACCAAATTCCGGATGTCACACAGCTGTGTTTCTCCTTCAGCTGTTGTTGCTGGTTCAAATAATCCGCCGTGGACATAATTCTAATTGTGTATCAAATATCCATGGATAATCTGATCTCCCTTATAGTCAACCTAACTGTATTCTCTTCTATAAAAAGCGAGGGGCGCCTGGGTGGCTCAGTCGGGCGTCTGACTTCAGCTCAGGTCCTGATCTCGCGGTCTGTGGGTTTGAGCCCCGTGTCGGGCTCTGTGCTGATAGCTCAGAGCCTGGAGCCTGCTTCGAATTCTGTGTTTCCCCCTCTCTCGGCCCCTCCCATGCTCTCTCAATAATAAATAAGCGTTTAAAAAAATTTTTTTTAAATAAAAAAACACGAAAGACCTCTTTATACAAAAACATTCACCAAATCCCCTAACCTGGCAAGCAATGTTATGACCACCTCTCAAGGTTCATTTTTAACATTTACTTTTCCTTTCCAGCTTATAATGCCAAATAGATGTTTGCATTTTTGCAAAGGCAGTGATTTTATTCTAGTTCCTTTCCTGTGACTCAGGGCTTTACAGATATAGTATGGCGCCCAGATGCCTCATCATTTTATGGCTTCTGCACTTCCCTGCTTTAAATTCCAGCATCAACTGCAACACTGGAGCCCAGCATGTACTTTCTGATGCACATGAAATAACCGAGAAAGAATTTATGTGGAAACTTCTAACTGTAATAAATTAGAAGCTCGTTTATGTCTTCATATACCAGCTGCATGCATTTATTCATAAAATAAAAACCTTAGTGTTAAGAGTGAACTGGGCTTCTTAGCTACCAACTAAAACCTCTCCCGGTGATATGCTAAGATGTCTGGAACAGACTCTTCTTCAGGAGTCGGGGACAAAGAACATAATAATAAATATCGCCTGGACGAGTCTTAAATTTTTTCTGAAATATCAAGTAGTTCTTGAAACAGCATTCCTTCACCAGAGAAAACAGACTGTAGGGAGAAACAGTAAAAGTAAGCCAATCTTTGTCTTTGGTGGTCCACGCAAATGAAACCTAAGTGAGGTTGTTTTCAAGGTCTTCGTGTCTCCTGTAGCGGTAACTATAAGAACATTTTGGAGAGATGCTTGTAGATGAGGAGAGCCGGTCAATGGAATGGCCATGCAGTTGAAAACATGTTTTTGGGGGGGTGGGGGGGGGGTGGGAGTTTAAAAATGGACAGAATTCCAAAATGTCATGCATGCCTGTTCCCTCAAACAAAAAACTGAATGACCAAAAATACGAAGACAAGTGACCATTTCCAGTGAAATACAGCATTATCATTTCCCTGAGGTTTCATCAAGCAAATATGGCATTTTTGAAAGACAAAAAGATCAAGTTTGAAGAGTAAAGGAAACTGTGCACTAGGACAAGAAGGATGGAAAACAAAATGGTTTAAGGAAACCAAGCAAAGGAATTATCTTAACCCCATAAAACCAAACCAAGATAAACCAACCAAGAAGCTCGCCCATGTCCATACTCAATGTCAGTGAAGAATGAATCCCTGACACACAATTAAATTAGCACAGGTCTTAGAAATACAACTTCTAGAGAGGAAGTCTTGAAGAAGTTACAATACTAACCTGGTAATTAATATGAGGGACACATGAGCAATTCAAGGTAGTCAGGGTGGAAAAATTCTCGGTATGACATGATTTAAGCTCATGGCGGGGAGACCAATGAACAGAGCTGAGGTGGATGTGTTTTATCAAGGTCATGTGCAAAGGTACAGAGGCAGATGAACTGGGCAGAGCCCTTCTGAAGTTAATACATTATACCAAGATTTCTTTGCCACAGCATTTTACAGAAGACCTGCAGGTCAGAAGTGAATGAATGAGGAGGATTTTGCTGTGTACGTCAAGCACAAACCCAACCACAAACTATGGCGATGATAGAGAAAGAACCAGGAGGAAAGCTGTCACTAAGAGTATTAATGTGTTACAAGATGCGCATGAGTGAGAAAAGATGGAAAACATGCTCCACCAAGACAGTTGACACATGTGGGAACATCTAGAAGACTAAAGACAAGGATGGACCTAGCAGTCCTTTTGGAACAGAGAAGTCATTTGAGGGATGGCATGGACCAATCAGTCTCCATTTCTACAAAAAGCAGAACTTGAATGAATGAACATAAGTTCCAGTAATCGTCTGGGGCAGAACATCGTATCCGTGAATGTGAAGGAACCCGGGAAAGCCCCCATGGGAGGCTACAGTATGGTCTGTTCCTTCAGACCCTTAAAGGGGGCTCAGCCAGCAGTCGCAAGGGGACAGAGGGCAGGAAGCCCACAGCTCTTCCTTGCTCTGTGCCATTTTATATGGGTTTCTGTGCAAGCCAAAAGTTGGGTGGGAATTCCAAGGGGAAAATGCCTATATTCTCAAGTTTAATATAAGTCATGCCCTCAAAAGTCAATTTTTACTAGGTCTTTGATAATTCCATAACAAAACTGAAAAACATTTCTGAAAGTAAGTGTTTCATTGCTTGCTACGTACAGAAGAATCTATGGGGCAGGGGAAGACGTTTCTGAAGGTCCACCCTCCTGTTTAAGATAGAACATCCAACAGATTTAAGTAAAACAAAAGAGCTCGAATATTTTTCCCCCCTTTCCATTTAAGAACTTTCTGGTTGGCACTACTAATAAGAGAAATGTACTTTATGAATGTTTTCAAATCACCAAATCGGTGATTCTGTTGATGGCAATCTTTCATTGAGCCAGTTTCTATGGTTTTAATTAAATGAAAGAATAAGCAACTCGTTTAAGGGCAAAATGTCCTTCTGTTCTGAATCAGATTCTTTGAGGTCAAGTGACGTGATGGCTGGGAACCAACCAGCCTAGAAGGAGGCCAAACCCCACCCCTGGACTCCGAAAGCCCTTCTCTGGATCATCTTCAGTGTTTGGTCTTAATTAAAAGCCAAAGAGCTTCAACGGGCAAGAGGACGAGTGGAAAAGAAGAAGCCATTACTAAAAGAAAGCAGGGTTAGAAATTTGAGGTGATGGCCGAAAGTCATGAAGTTAGGAGAAGAGAGGGGAAGACGCCAGGTTCCCCGGAAGAAAGGCCATAACGCTTGACTGCACATCACAGAAATGACAAGGCCGTCCTGGTGACCATCTTTGTGACTCACGGACTTCTGGTGGATTCTCAAGAGAACCCTTTTAGTACAGCGGTCGACCGTGGCGGCCCACTTCCTCTTGGTCTCCTCATCCTCCTCCAGCAGGCACCGCCTGAGGTCCTGTCTCTCGGCCTTGCTCAGGGTCCTGTCCGAGGCAGGCCGCACTAGCTGGGTCAGGTTCAGGTGGCTGTACAGGCTCCGCTCCACCACGTAGGTGATATTGAACTCGCTGACCGAGGGGCGCCCGCGCGCCCTCCTGCTGGGGATGCCGCAGCTCCCTCCCCCTTTGGGTTTCTGCCGGAGCAGGTCACAGGTCACACTGTTGACTCCTTTTCTGGAGGGACGCTGGCAGAGAAAAGCTCTGGAACATGAATAATTAGTATCCATTTTCTTCAGGCGGATTTGCTTCCGGACACTCTGAACCTCCTCCAGGGACACTAGAAGGTGGTGCCTACGTCGCTGGTGGTCATAGAAGCAAACACCATCCGTACTTACCCCATGGCTCAGGGACCCGAGACCCTTCTTCATCTCCCCCTCAGTTAGGGAGCGGGAGACCTTCTGGGCCTTTTCTTCTTCTGGGTAGGAGAAGAACGTCCCCATCTTCTTGGGGGGCTTAATCAGGCCCCGACTCTCTCCTTTGCTGAAGGTTTTGACCAACTTCCGGCCGGCTCCCCAGGTATCCAGGCTGCTGGATGATGGAGAAGTGGTGAGAGAGTCTGAATCATCTTCTGGAGGTTTCTCAGGAGAGCCATCAAAGAAAAATGGCTTCTTGTGTACTCCAGAATAAAGGGCGGACCTCTCATCCAGAACTGGGGAATTCTCAAACACATGCTCCTCCCCGCCTGGAGGGAAATCAACACAGAGATGTTCATGGTCTCTTGTAAACATACTTCTCCATTCCCTCACAGGTATTTCTTTCGTTACAGCCCCGCCCTACAAAAAATAAGCCAATCGTCACAGAAACCACAGTGATCCCCTCCCCATATCACTTACCCTCTTCCTAAGCCCAGCTCCCACTTAAATGAATGCATATAAACAATAACAAACTGTGCAAATGTAGGGCTTCACAAGCTTAATGTTAGAAGGTGTTGGGTGTATTTTCTTCTCCTTCTTTACAGTATCTTTGTAGAACAAACCCCTGAAGAAATCTAGTAAAAATGCCACTGGGAAAACCCAAGCCAGTCATTATCATGATATTCCATAGCCCTTAGCATTTAAAGATAATTAATCCCACCCCCCCCCCCCCCCCCCCCCCCCCAATCTGATTACCCTCCCCAGGCTGTGGGAGAGATCCTCAGAAGCTAGGAATCAGGATCTTTCCCCCTTCTGAAAGGCCTTCTGTTGAGTCCGGTTGGGATTTCACTGTCAGAGTGTGATGAATGCCACGTGGCTGACAGTGATTTTTTTTTTTTTTTTCCCTTGGTACATGTGCCATTTAAGTAATTAAATCACCAAGGCAGCCTGGGTGCAGAAACACCATACGGGGTTACAGCGTGCGAACGCAACTCACAAACGGTCCCCAGTTGACAAGCCAAACACAGCAAAGTTAGGGAACTGGGTGGTTCCAGCCAGGCATTGCCATCCACTGGCCCTGCTGGGAAGCAGCAAGGGCATTTAAGGGCCCGGACACGCAGGCAGCCTCATCGAGTGTTCCACTCTGTTTCAAGGATTCCAGCTCTTGAAGCCTCCCCTGGAGCAAGGTATTGAGCCAAGCCCTCCGAAGCCCAGTGGAAAGGTTTGGACCGACTGGCAGGAAAACAGAGTTCTTTTCTGCGTGTGTTATGTGAACAGATGTGAAAAAGAAGTAGGTCAAACTGTGGGTGTAGGGATCCTAACTGGCTGGGTCCCTTTAATTATAAGGAACCGTTTGAGAACTGCTGCTTTCCACCAGCTGAACTGTGAAGAGGAAAAAATAAAAAGTTCCTTGGAACAGAGGGATGGCCCTAAATATACCAGCTGGGATGCGGGTGCCAGTGTGTGGTTAAATGTCAGAGAGAACTGCTCGCTTCGGAGAGGGGAAGGATGAAAAGATTGGTATCAGCCTCTTAAAATTCTAAAGGTTTCTTCCTTTTCCAGCTGATGGGAGTTATTATTACAAGTATAAAGAAAAACAGAATCGCTGCTGTTAAGTACGACTCAAGATAGATTTTTTTTTTTTTAATTTTTTTTTTTTTCCCAACGTTTATTTATTTTTGGGACAGAGAGAGACAGAGCAGGAACAGGGGAGGGGCAGAGAGAGAGGGAGACACAGAATCGGAAACAGGCTCCAGGCTCTGAGCCATCAGCCCAGAGCCTGACGCGGGGCTCGAACTCAGGGACCGCGAGATCGTGACCTGGCTGAAGTCGGACGCTTAACCGACTGCGCCACCCAGGCGCCCCTCAAGATAGATTTTTACGTCAAGGAGACAGTGGTGGGGAGGGAGATTCAGAACTGTGTCCAGTCCAAAGTTCTCCATAATCTGCAGCACAAATGTATTCCCTGAAGGATTATTCTCGGATCTTTCATGAGAGTTGTTGTTTTTAAAAAAAAATTTATTTATTTATTTTGAGAGAGAGCAGAAGCAGGAGAGAGGCAGAGAGAGGGAGGGGGGGAGAGAGAGAGAATCGGAAGCAGGCTCCACACCACCAGCACAGAGCCATCACGACTCAGGGCTTGAACTCATCAACTGTGAGATCGTGACCTGAGCCCAAATGAAGAGGCGGACGCTTAACCGACTGAGCCACCCAGGCACCCCCTTTCATGAGTATTTAAAAGCGGAGTATAATCGAGCTCTGGCAGGAATTTGCCAGACCAGAGGCAATGTGCAAATACTGTGAAAGTTTCCCGCTCTTTCCTCAGGACCCCTGACTAATAAGGTATGGAGACCAAGGGCCCTTCTGTTGTTAGAAGTAAAAACGGCCACCTCTTCTAGATGCGATCCACCCTCTGCTCGCAGGAAGAAGTGACAGGGCTGAGAGGAGAGGTACAGCCTGGTGGCAGAGGCAGACCGGCACTGGACTTCTCTATAGAAGTGTCCAGATCACAGATCACGGCTTTGCATTTCGCCCAGGTGCCCACGGAGGTGCACAAGGCCCTGATCTACCCACAGTCCGAAGGGGACTCGGGGAATTCAGGTGCGTCTACTGGAAATTTTAACAATCTGTCGCCCAACAGTGGTCTGGAAACGTTCTGGACTCTGTGTTTAGGTTTGTCATCAGAGATTCCAATACTTCCATGACACATCTGAGTCTGGAACCAGCCGGTGCACACATGTCCATGACCTGTAGAGCTCTGCATCCTGATCCTGAAAAGCCTGCATTTGGTAAGGAGCTTGGAGGGAAATGGGGCAAATGCTGTGTGCCGAGGGCAGGCCTAGCATAGGGTACGTTCTTCCGTCTGTGTCTGACCCGAGACCTGAAATCCCAGCCTTCACTTGATTCCTGGGGTTTACAGGCCTGCTTCTCTCCTTCTGGGGCCTCCAAGTACAACTATTTAATGGGGAGAATGACAGTCAGCGTGCACTGACCCCATCATCATTTGGTGTGACCTGTTTCACATAGCGACCTTTATCTCTCCTAGTCAGCTGAGATCAGAATATGGAAGGAAGGTGATTTTAACAGGGGTAGGATTTGGGGTGACTTAATGCCAAGATTCCAGCTCTGTCTCTGCCACTCACCATCTCCCTGACCTTGGGCAATTATTTCATCGCTCTGAGCCTGTCTCCTCGCCTGTAATAATGTCTACCTATCAGAACTATCTGCTGCAAGGCTGTTACGAGGATGAAATTAGGGGCGCCTGGGTGGCTCGGTCAGTTAAGTGTCTGACTCTTGATCTCAGCTCAGGTCATGATCTTGTGAGATCGGGCCCCTCATCAGGCTCTGTGCTGACAGTGTGGAGCCTGCTTGGGAGTCTCTCTCTCCCCCTCTCTCTCTCTGCCCCTCCACTGCTCTCTTTCTTAAATAACTTTAATTTTTTTTTTTAAGGATAAAATTAAGTGAAATACGTAAAGGTGCTCTGTAAGGTAAAAAGCACTGAATGAAAGCTAATGATTCATTCATTATTGGGTTACAGATAAGCTGGAACAATGATGGAAGGTAGGTGCGTATCAGCTCTAGGGGAAAAAGCACAGAAACGGGCCAATGGAGGGCACTGACCTGGCCTACGATTTAATACTGTCTAGGGTCATCCATGCCCTGGAGGAGGACCTGAAACTCAGTTACATGGGTGAGACCAGGTGAGAGACGGAACTCTCGTGGCTCTCCCAGGACTCCAGAGCCAGGGGGCGGTGGGGAAGGGGTGGGAACAGAGTGAAGACCCAGGCTGCCCGGACTTAATTCCGGGCCTTCTGCCAGCAGGCTCAGTGACCTTGAGTGAATTATTTAACCTCCTGGCGGGTCAGTGCCCTCATTTGTGAAACGAGGGTGGTATGAATGCCTGCCTCTGGTGGCTATTCTGGGGATGACATATTAAAAGAAACACAAAATCTAAAGTGTTTAGGCAAGTGGCTGGCACACAGAATGCTCTCAGTAAAGGTTAATTATCCTTCAGAAAACTTAGCATTGGCACAGACATGTGGGAAGCCAAAAGGCTCAACTCTTTGAAGGTCCAGAGGTGGCAAAGGAGGGGTTATTGGGAATGTGAATCTTTCCTGCTTTGCAGATTCAAGGGCCAAGAACCAGCTCTTCTGTCGATGAGGAGCCTCACAGAGTTCCGTTCCACAGGGGCTAGAGGGAGCTCTTGTCTAGTCTGGTCCGGTCTCGTGGGCAGCCTGAGCTGGCAATACCCACCTGCCCACTTAATGGCACCCTTGCTCCCCAATTCATCAGACACCAGAGGTTAATTGGGACTCAGGCTCATTTAATCCATGTTTCATCTGTGGAACCTAATCCAGACTCAGGTGAATTATAGTTCAGGGCTAGAAGTCCATACAATGACTACTTTTTACCCCAAAGCTACCTCTCCAGGTATATTCTTCCCCTTTTCCACCGTGTCTCTCAGAGATACTTGGACTGATCTGTTCTGACATAAATATGCAAACAGAGTATTGCTGTACTGTTATCAGATGTTAGTCTAGTGGAAAAGGCGGCCCGAATGCAAATGACTTTTCTGTAGGACTATGCAACCAGGTGGCAGGCCCAGCACCAGGTACGTGAATCGTTCCATCTCGTTTATGGACAAGAATCACCAATCTATTGGCTATCTTTGAGATTTAATTTTGCCAAGTATGCAAGGTTTGTTTTAAAATGTGGTGCCGAGGGGTGCCTAGGTGGCTCAGTCTGTTAAGTGTTCAGCTCAGATCATGATATGATCTCATGGTTTGTGACACTGAGCCCCACATCAGGCTCTGCACTGACAGCACAGAACCTGCTTGAGATTCTCTCTCTCTCTCTCTCTCTCTCTCTCTCTCTCTCCACCCCTCCCCCACTTGTGCTTTCTCTCTCTCAAAATAAACAAACATTTAAAAATAAAATAAAATAAAATAAAACGCGGTGCCCAAGGTTGAATGACAGCAATTCCATATGGGTCTACTTACTATTTATTACCAACTGACAGTATGTGTGTGATTTCATTAAGAGCTGCCAGTGAGAGGAGATCAGGCTGTAATTCTGTATTGTGAAAACCAGCACTGATGAGCAGGTGTTAAAACATCCAAATATAAAATCAGCATTGCACCCAGAGGCAAACAGAATTACCACACAAGAAGACACCCGAATGGAACCTGGAATTCCACACAACTCTATGAAATTGCCCATAAGCACATTTCTCTCCAGCACCCCACCGCCCTTTCCCATCCTCCTTTCTCTTCCTCCCTTGCCTTCACGCTCCCATAATCCCCTCACCTTCAATATTTCTCCAGGGGATTTAAACTGATAAATAATTACAGCAAACAGAAATTTAAAAACAGCAGTGAGAAACACCAGGAAACCCTCATCTATGCAAATAAGGGGAAATCCAGTCCCCTCCATGGCTTGACCTTACCAGTGTACAACCAAAAGGCTTCTGGAAGATCATTTTCAAATCTACGTGTTAAAATTCTGAAATTCCTTAAGACGTAGGTGTGACATTTTAACAAGTAATGTGCTTTTTAAAAAATAAGACCTACTCTCTCCAGTATTTTTTCCAGTCCACTTATTGTTTTCCCAAATGGGAAATCTTACTCTTTTCTTTCATCCTTTTGGGAGAACTTTACAAGATGCTGCAAATGCATACTGCTAACAACAGGAGAGACGGATATGGTTGAGATTTAAATCGTCATAATCACACTTCAAAGGTTAACTATTCACTACAATAAATCCAGGCTCATGCCCCTTCTGACATTATTGCTTCATCTGACAAGCAGCTTAGCCAGCAAGATAGCTCTTAAGATCCACTTAGAATGAAAGGTCCTTAGAGCCCAATCTGAATGGAGTCTTCAGACTGTTTACAGGAAGAACAAATCATCCCTCAGAGATCTGAAAAAGGGTATTAAGTGCCTTGATTGTTAGATGTTTGTTTGAGATGGACATATATCAAATCTGGACTAAACTCCGTGGGCAAGAGCCACCAGTCTTTGGTCACAGAGGCTAGGAAGAAGTTATAAAATAATGTTGATATAAGGGGTGCCTGGGTGGCTCAGTCGGTTGAGCGTCTGACTTTGGCTCGGGTCATGATCTTGCGGGTTTTGAGTTCGAGCCCCGTGTCGGGCCCTGGGCTGACAGCTCGGAGCCTGGAACCTGCCTCGGATTCTGTGTCTCCCTTTCTCTCTGCCTCTCCCCCGCTCTCTCTCTCAAAAATAAATAAGCATTAAAAATTTTTTTTAAATAATGAAGTTTACATAGAATGATGTAAGCTCAAAATGAAAGCTATGCCACACCTTGAGAAGACTTCGTTGTCACATACTAGCCATCCCGCGTTGCTGTAACACTGAAATGACTAAGCTCCCGACATGCCGGATGCCAGGATCCGTACATGCTGAGCAATGCCCAGCTAACGCGCACACCCAAAGCGCTCTCCGCCAGCCTCAGCCAGAATGCAATCCGTTTTCCACTTGAAATCATACCCTTTTTCTACTGAAAAGCTGATCCCAGCTGATCTACTTTGGAATAAGCAGGGCGGAGTGTGTGTGTGTGTGTGTGTGTGTGTGCGTGTGTGTGTGCGCGCGCGTGTGCGCGCGAGCTTGCGTGTTTACCTTCGGTGCTGGGCTTTTTCATTTCTTCCACCCTGATTAGTTTCTTTCTCACTCTGCGAGTGGAGCTGACCAGCTTGTGTAATCTCTTAAACTTCACCGACTCCTCAGTCTCATCATCCGATTGTTCTCTTGACTGGCAAAGAAACAAAGGGAAAAGTTAATCAGGTAATTGCCCCAGGGCTCTGCTCTGGCAGCTGGGTACAGCCCGGCCTCCCCTCCAGTCTGAACTTGGGCAGTTGTGCAGCTGAACCTGGGGCGCCAGCTCATTGGCCCAACAGGTTCGCGAAGCTCCACGTACCATCCTGAGGCCTGATTCACCGGAGCATCAGGCCCCTGCCCAGCATGCCCTGCGCTTGTCTCAGTTACTTCCCAGTCCTCTTAGGAGAACTCCGACGGGGCCCTCTCCACAAGGCTGGCCCCGTAATTCCAGTCCCGCTGCTGTGGTTTGGGCCCGGCTCTCCTCTGTCTGGCCCATCAGGACCGCTTAGCGTGGTCATCAACTACTTCTCCAAACCAAAATTCTGTTGACTTGTTCCAGTCCTCCCCCCAAAATCAAAAACAGCAGGGCAGGAAAAGGGAAGAGAAGCAAAAAGCCGCCTTCTATCGCGTTTGTTAGGACAGTCCGCCACATCTCAGCCATGCCTGCGGCCTCTCCCGGCTCCTTCTGAGAGCTCGCGAGGCGTGCGAGGACAGACCCTGCATTCCTCCACGAGGGACAAGGGAAAAAGCTGACCTTTGCAGCCATACAGCACAGCGCATATTCCCCAGCATGCCATTTCAGTTTGCAGCGACTCGAGTATGCTCAACCCAGCTGTTTTCCCTCAAGTATCAAACATTACAGAGAGAAAAAAAAATTCCCTCCGCAGCAGTGACCCCAGTGAAAAACAATCCTTTCCTTGTGAACAAAATGAGGTTTGCGTTTCCAAGTCAGCTCTAACGTCCAATATGCAGCTTCCTCTGTTTTATCGGTGCAAAATGTGCAAAAGCAAGAGAAGTCTGCAGCTTTTGGCCCAACAGGCCAAAAGGCGTGCTGCGCCGGCCGGGTGCTCGGGCGTTCCCGGGAGGCGGAAGCGCACAGCCCCCCCTACCCCAGGCAGCTCGCGAGCAGCCCCGGCTGATCCTGCACGACCTGGCAACAGCCCTCCCTCCATTTCCTCCAACCTAGTTCACAGAGATGGTAAGGACAGGGACGCCTCATACAATCCACACAAAACAAAACCCACATCTCTGAGCTGGTCTGACACGAAGACATTCCCACCCCTCCTCCATCATCCCGCCTCCATCGACCATCAAATGGGGACGTAGTAAGAGTTAGCCGAGAAGAGTTCAAGGGTAAACAAGGTAGAGATACTGTGAATTACTTGGGCAGAAAAACGGTGCAGCATGTCGGGAGGCCACAAATATTTCTGTGGCACTATGGCACTACGTAAGCGATAAATACAACCCATTTCCTGGCCTCTGTCCTCCCCCTGGGGCTCCCAGCATAAGGCCATTGTACTTTCTCTCTGCACAACTGTAAGCAAACCATTCACCCACTGAAGAATAATTATTGTAACCCATAAATGGTGAGTCATCAAGACAGGGGTGTTTCTCAGGCTTCCCTTCTGTGAACTGTATCCAATTTCTCTGTAATTCCTAAAGTGTTACCTATCCATCTCAGCATTAAAGTGAACTACTGCTTACCTGATGATGAAGAATGCGAATTGGACCCCCAGGTAATGGGGGGTGGGGAAGGAGGCTACATATACATTGCATGCTGGCCATTCGGCCTAATGTGTTTGGCCTAAAACTTAAAATGTAACAAAACTAAAATGAACTAGTAAGTAAGTACAGCTTCTGCTACATAACAGTCAGTATTGAATGGTATGAATTTTCATTTTTGCTTGGTTGAACTGTTGATATGTGATGAAGTGGTCAGTGGTCAACCAGAAAAATGAGAAACTTGGTTAACCCTCATGCTGGGTCATCAGCACCCGAACAGAACCCTAGGGCACGGGATTACACATTCACACTGAAACTATTCTGCCTTTTTGATGGCTCTCTAAAACTAAGCAATTCCAATAGAAGAAGAACCAACATTAGATTATAGTGGGACAAATCTAGAACATGTCTGTCACTCTCGTATTAAAAAATTCCAAAGTTAATGGGTGCCCAGGTGGCTTAGTTGGTTAAGGGTCCGACTCTTAATTTCAGCTCAGGTTGTGATCTCACGGTTTGTGGGATCAAGCCCCATGTCGGGCTCTGCACTGATGGCGAGAGCCCTCTCTCTCTGTCCGCTCCCCCCACCCCTTGCTTGTACACTCTCTCTCTCTCTCTCTCTCTCTCAAAATAAATAACAAATAGGGGCGCCTGGGTGGCTCAGTCGGTTATGTGTCCCACTTCGGCTCAGGTCATGATCTCACAGTTTGTGAGTTCGAGCCCCACGTCGGCTCTGTGCTGACATCCTAGGGCCTGCTTCTGATTCTGTGTCTCTCTCTCTGCCCCTCCCCTGCTCACACTCTGTCTCTCAAAAATAAATAAACATTAAAAAAAAAATTAAAAATACATGACAAATAAAATTTTAAAAATTCTGAAGTGAGTATAAATGAAATGAACAAAGATACGGGACGCTATGTTACAGAATGAAAATTAGTTTTGTATGTATACCTTGTCCCTAGCTTGAGGGCTGCTGATGGTGGCGAGGGGGAGGGGTATGCCTGTGCATTCCACAAATATGCAGGAAACGTGCCATCAGAGGGAACTTTTGAGAGAGAAATCAGAATTGCTAAATCAGGGCAACAGAATTAAAGGCAAAAACCTCCTCCGTGAGTCCTACTTTCCTCCCCCGTGATTCACTGGGGTGAAAAATAACATATTCCAGGTACTTATTTAATTGCTTTCACATGTTCCGTCTAGATTTGAGAAACAGGAGCTCTTTAGAACTTTGAAATAATGTTATTTTTATTTTTCTAAAAAAAAATTGTGAATATTTTAGAGGTGTTTGCCATTGACAAATCACAAATCACAACAACCAGTCACTTCTCATTATCGTGCTTTGGACACTAAACCAGATAGATGCAGCACAATTTACGTGAAGAAAAATGTCATCTATTTCTGTCTTTATGCTTTATTATTTTTTTTTAAATAGAAAATCCCCCATGAGTCAGCCTAGAAGTCACTGGAGTTGAACAGTGTATCCCAAGGATGCATTTTATTGATGGAGAGGTGTTGACTTCTCGCTTCCTCCTGAGTCCAGAGGAAAAGGAGTTTGTGAAATATTTGCTTTTAAAAATTTCCCTCCAGCTGTTTTAACATAGACTGTGTATAAGGCATGCATTTCATTTAAACTGTTAAATAAAGTTAAATTCCTCATTTCAGGTCTCTCCTTTTAAATAAGCATATGCCACTTTCCAAATGCTGAAAATAACTTGTGTCTTTTTATTCAGAAATTACACCCCCAGAGATGAGGGTGTGAAAATTTAAAAAAAAAACAACAACCATTTAACCGTATCTGTGTATGCACGCGTGTGCACACATTTAAAAGAAATCTGTGCACCTGGAGGAACTCTCATAGAAGGAGATCTGCAGTACATATAAAATGAATAGTTGGTTCCAAGAAACAGACCCCTAGAATTAAACAGAACTACTAGAGAACAGGTTTTAAATCAACTAACGTAAAAAATAGCAGTATATGTTTATGCACCTTGTAACACGAGGTGGTATCTCCTCCTCTCCCTGCCCGGCCCCAGGTCACAGTACTGAAATAAACTTTAATTTGCTCGTCTTCTAAATGAGAGCGTGAAAACGCAATCATCTGTATAAAACTCCTCACCTCCCAACGTTAGCAGAAAAAGGCAATTAATTTATTCTACCAAAGGAGGTGGAAGAGTGGATTTACGTTATTGTAAATAGAAACATTTGATTTCCAAGCCTCTCTATTGCAGATTTTTCCACCAGAAAGCCCATATGGCTCAACTTTTAATTACTTTGGCTAATGCTATATGTAGTAATTCTGTGGTGAATGCTTAAGTGTTTCATTGCTGGTTTCCATGGCAACATTACATCAGATTACAGACAGCTGGCTCCACAGTTTTAAACCATAACAAATTGACCAAGCCAAGGCACAAAACTAGAGCTGCTTTAAAGAGATAGTGCACCATTCGCCTGCCAGGGCGCTGAATGAGGGGCCTATGGGGCCCACTTGGCAGGCCAAGGAGGGTGGAGCCTCCTTCCTTCTCAGCTTCTTTTGGAACATGTGCATCCTTGACACATCTGCAATGTTCTAATAGGAAAGACATGGGGCCAGCGTGGAGGACTTTTCATAACACAGCTACGCAGAGAAGGATCGGAAAAAAAGGGAACACAATTAATAGCATCTGTAGACAGAAAAGTGTGTGAGTCGAGCAAACGGAACGGCAGCATCCCGCGCTCTCCAGCCCGTCCCTGCAGGTGGGTAACAGATACTTCACGGCCACCTCCCCCCCCCCCCCCCCCCCCCCCAACAAACGGTTCTAGCAGCTAAGGTGCGCTGTGACAAATGCTTTCCAAAAGCTGCGCGGCACAGTGTTGCAGGCGCGGGAGCACTGTTCCCTAATAAAAGTTAAACTGAACTCGCAAGGAGCCACCGGAGTCCCTCTGGGGGCTGCTGGAGCCCAGGGTGAGCGCAGGATTACGACTGTGCCTTTTGCAGAAACAACGCTCAGCTTGCTTCCCCGGCTCTCTAGACACCCAGCCCACTGTTGCAATTAGCAGCCAGACTAAGTCAGTTTATCTCCCCTGGAGACACACACACAGACACACACACACCCCGCTATAACATATTTAAGCATTTCTGAAATAGTCTGAAATCGGAAACGTATTTTGCTTGTGAAATTCACACAGCAGTTTCTGGTCGACTGGGTGCAGAATCAAACAGAGACGCTTCCATTTCCCAGGTCTGCACTGCCAGCGGCGTTAACCGTAAGGGAAGGAAGCGGGTCGGCTGCAGCATTATGAAAAGCTGCATCAGGCAAGGCAGTCTGCAGTCCAGTCCTCCGCACTGAAAGCCTCCACGATGACAACTGGGCTCCAACCACGTACACTCAGTCTCTTGAGAATCCCTTTATTCTCAGATTAAAATCCCCTATTCTCCCCCCAAAGCTATGCCTTATTGGGTGAGCGTGCTGGGAAAGAAGGCTCGGGGTTCCACAGCAGGGAAGGAAAGAAGGGAAGGAGGACAAATCTCGAAGAAGCTGAACAGAAAAGAGGAAAGCATCCTAGCCGGGAGCAGTCAAAAAAGCTTTTCCTTGCAGGGACAGAAAGCACATTTTCCCTTTCACGTTAAACACATCCAACGAACTTACCGGCTTCGGCATTTAGCAGGCCTAAGGGGCAATTTCGAGCACGTCTGGTCCCCCCGCCCCCTCCCCACGTTGAGCGCGTCTTCACTCCTGTTCCGTCAACTCTGTGATCTCAAAGTGAGGATCAGGCACTCCTCAAACATGTTCCTTTGGAGTTACATGATCAGACAGGCGCCACCAGCACGGCTTAGCATCCGAAGGAGGAGAAAGTGAAGACACTGGGTTCAATTAGCTGCTTTCTGCCTGCTGACTGATTCCCCAGTTACTTGCTAACTGCATAACTTGTAAGAAAGGCATAAGTCATCAGCTCTAAGCAAATCTCCTATTCACCACAAGGAAAAAAGGGAGTGTTGTACGTGGCAAACAATCCCTGTTTTCACTGACGAAGGCTCCCTGACCTCCCGCTGGCCTCCAGTTCCTTAATTACTGTCTATGGAATTCCAGAGAAAGAAAAAAAAGGACGCGGGAATCTGAGCAAATCCGGGACAAGGACTAACCCTTACAAGTGACTGAACTTAAAAAAGATCTCTTTCGCAGATACTCCTCCAAACATCCCCTGAAGGGAGTAGTCTCGATTGAAAATAGACACCTTCCAATGGCTATTTTTGAAATTACTGAATTAAAACTTGTGATTTTGGTTTTCTTCTGGACTTGTCACTTTCTATCTGTCCCCACTCCTTTTTCTATTTTAACTACCCCAGTCAATGTAGGAGAGGTATTTCCTGTCCGGTGATGCTTCTAAAACGGTCTTACCCAATTGTTTCAATAATCATTTCAGAGCAGCTGGGGTTCTCTGGTCTTCTAGAAATGTGTGCACGGGGACTGTGTCACAAGATGATCATTTAATTTTCTCAGGGGTGTCTGGGGAGTGACGGGCACATGCTGTTACTTAAACAGAATATCATCTGAACAAGACAGGACTGAAAACCCAGGTGGAGTCTACGACGTGGGTTACAAGTCATGTCTGTCTTTCAGGAGTAAATTCAGCCACTTGGGTAAGTCACGTGTTCCCTCTGGGCAGTCTGAGCTGTCCCCAGTCCAAGGTGCCTCTCTCCTTGTTGGGCCTGTATGTATGTATTATGCAAGGTTACCTCGCTTGGTAGGACATTTCACGTGCGCGCGCGCGCGCACACACACACACACACACACACACACACACACACACCCTTTTTACCATGCAGCAGAGGTCCTAGCCAATGCCACAGACCACCAGAACCCCATCTATCTCTTTGTCCTGGGTGTCTGTCCTTCGCTTTGCCCCTTTGGCGTCTCTCGCCCTTCAACAAGAGCCGCATGAATCCCCTCTCCCCCAATTTTCTCCTCGGAAGTGTCTCCTCCAACCCCTAAAGGGATTTCCCATTCTCTCTCCCCATGAGGGTTTGCTGCACCTTCCCCATACTGCCTCGCTCTGCCCATACACTCACCGACACCCCCTCCCCCGCTGCCTCCTAAGGGTCCACCCGTGCCACCCACTGTGGCGGGTGCTTTTGCGACATCGTGTTTCTGACACCCGTGTTTACGGTGTGCTCGTAATTCCCAGGCACTGGGCTAATCTTTACCCATTTGACCTCGTTTCCCGGCAGAGGCAGAATCTGAAACTTCATGGTTTGGCTCCTGCACCTCCAACGTGCACGTCAGCCTTCTTCACCCGAGACCGCCAACCACGTTGCACGCAATGTTCTGCTTAGAGTTCCTTAAAACTGTCAGGAGAAACCCTCGGCTGAATTTCCTTGCTGCTTGGTGCAAACTAAGAAAATGCACATGCCCCATGGGAGCGGGGTAGAGGGAAGAGGAAAGCCGAAGGCCTTTGGAGCTAGAACAACCTGGAACAATTCAACAACTAGACCTAGTTGAATTTCCAGGTCCTCCAGCAAATCACTTCACATCTCTGGGTCTTAGTGTTCCTCCATGCACATTTGATCCAGTAACATCGATCTTAAAGTGTTGTTTTAAAATTTGTGTGTGTGGGGGGGCGCCTGGGTGACTCAGTTGGCTAAGCATCCGCCTCTGGATTTCGGCTCAGGTCATGATCTTTGGTTTGTGTGATCGAGCCCCGCATTGGGCTCTGCGCTGGCAGCACAGAGCCTGCTTGGAATTCTCTATCTCCCTTCCTCTCTGCCATTCATTCATTCCCTCTCTCTCTCTCTCTCTCTCTCTCAAAATAAATATTTAAAAAAACCTTTGTGTCTGTACAACCTACAAGTGGAGCTCAGTAAGTGCTTATGACATCTGCAGTCTATTGCTGATTGGAATCCAAACAAGACCAATTTTAATTCTACCAAACTGCTGTTGTAGGGGCTATGTAAATAGCAACGGCAAAGAAAACATGTGAAAACTAATGATGTGGCCCACATTTGGGGCTGGGTCTGAACAGGCTGTTCAGACACAGAGAAGATTCTGAGCCGAATTAGGAGCTGGAACTCTGAACCCGGTCAGAGGTAGGCTCAGGGCCCCTTCATGTCACCCGTGAACAGCGTCTGCTTGGGCACGTTTCTTAATTTCTCCGATTTATAAAACAGGCGGTGATCAGCCTCCAAAGGAGATCCTGAGTGTGAGGCCTAGAGCCTGGTCGGCAGCTCTGGATGTCCTGTGAGATGCACAGGAAGCCGGGCCCTGACTGCACCAGGTTCTGTGAGGAGGGTGGGGGAAGGACGCATCCCTGCCCATCCTCTTGGTGGCCTGGTCCTCCTGTGCCCCCTCCCCCCCCATTAGCTGTCACTGATACGACTCTCCAAGGAGGATTCAGGTCTTTATGGAGGTCCTCCATGTTGGGCACTACATGGGCATCCGAGACCGCTCGTCCTGTAGAAGACGGGAAAGTCCACAGGGGCCGTGTCTGTTCTCCCTCCTTACACTCGCGGTGCCCAGTGCACGCCCCACCCACAGTGGGTCCTCGGCAAACGTGTGTGTCATCGATGTGGAACGAGAAGTTTAGACTCTCCGGCCCTGTTGTTCCCAGCCCCTGCTGTGGGATCTGAGTCAACTGTGGGATATTTGAGAGACGAGGCTGGGCCAGGCCACCCTGGGAAGCTTCTTGGTGGAAGGCAGTTCAGTTGGAAACCAGGGAAGAAGCTTCATGAAGGAAGGGCATGGCTGATCCTGCCCACTGGGTGGTGGGCTTGGATGTACTTAGTGCGCGGGAAGTGTGCCAATTTGCTGAGAGCAGATTTGAGCATCAGTCTCCCATCCTAAGGAATGGTTCGTTAGGTCCTCAGGGCAGAGTCCAAAGGCCTTCCTGTGGAGTGTGGGACGTCGCAGGGCTAGAGCCCTGCCCTGCCCCAGCTACTGTGGATATGGATGCAGATACTACATGGAAAGGCCTCTCATAGCGTCTGGTTCTCATCCTTCGACCCCCTCAGAGCATCTCTAATATTCCATCTCGCATGTGCCTGCACACCTTCGCACTGGCAGATTCCTTTTCTGGGAATATCTCTGCCCACCCCATCTCCTCCTACCCATCCTTCAATATTCAGTCCATAGGTCATCTCCCTTGGAAAGCCCTCCTGGCTTTCCTCTTCTTCTAGAACCTGGGTGGCTGAGAGCACACACACTGACAGGACTCAGCCAAGTATATGGTAACCAGCGTATCACTGAGGAGACCAGGGCCACTGTCCTATTCGTCTGTATTTCAGTAAATGTTTATTTCTGATTACATGTGATACGCTTTCAATTACAAAATGTGGAAAATGCAGATACAGAAGGAGAAAAAGAAATCACCTGAACCCTCCCACACTCAAAAAATTTGTCGTATTTTGGTTTTTATGCTCTTGACACACACACGTGCATGCACGCGTGCACACCCCCCACACACACACTACATACCCTTAGGTTTCTATGTTTTGTTTGCTTTTTATAAAAAAAGTGTGACTTTGTGATCGTTAGCTGCCCTATCTCCCACAGTCACTACCAGGGTCCCCACGCCCCCCTCACATGAACACACAGTTGTAGAAACAAAGGGCCTGATTCCAGCCGCTACCCTCTGAGCCACACCGCTGCCTCTGAAAGTTTCCTTTAGAGAAACTGTGGAGCCCTCAATGGATACTGTTCAAACAGTTCTAAAATCTGCTTTTTAAATTTTGAACAATTTTCTTATGTCAACAAACAGCCAACAACTACAATATATTAAGGATTCAGTAGTATTCACAGAAATATACCCTAGTTTTCTTAATGCCTTGAATCATTAGACAGTGGAATGTTTCCAATTTTTCAAGATCATAAACAATACTCTGATGAACTTCATTGTCAAATTTCTAACACATCTAACACATTCTTCTTTTCAGAAAAACAATTAGAAGATGGACATAGCTTAAAGTCCTTGGATAGATATTAAAAATTTGGTCAGATGAAAACAGTGTTACTTTTTTTTTTTTTAACGTTTATTTATTATTGAGAGACAGAGAGACACAGAGCATGAGCAGGGGAGGGGTAGAGAGAGGGGGAGCCACAGAATCTGAAGCAGGCTCCAGGCCCTAAGCTGTCAGCACAGAGCTTGACGCGGGGCTCGAACCCACGAACTGCGAGATCATGACCTGAGCCGAAGTCAGTCGCTCAACCAACTGAGCCACCCAGGCGCCCCGACACTGTATTACTTTTAAAGCTCACAAGTTGTATAAAAAGAGTGCCTATTTCCTTACACAATTGCCAACACTCAACATAATATTTTTTTACACTGAAGCAATTAAAAATAGTGTCTGTGTCTGTGATAAATGGATATTTTCTGGTTGAAATCAATGGATGGATGCCTCCAAGGAGTTGAAACAGGAGTGAGTGGACTTTACTGGGGCTGCAAAGATTGCAATCCGCAAGTCTTGGGGGAGAGAGAGCCCACAGAGAAGTTCAGAAACAGGATTAGCGAGAGTAGCCGTGAGAAACACCCAGAAGAGGAACAGAGAGATACAGGCATTCAGAAGTGGGAGAATTGGGTGCCTGGGTGGCTCAGTCAGTTAAGTGTCGGACTTTGGTTCAGGTCACGATCTCACAGTTGGTGAGTTTGAGCCCCTCATCAGGCTCTGTGA